ATTTCTGAAGCCATTTTTTTGACTTCCCCTCGAACGGCTTGAGGCAGGCGTTGAGCAGAGATTTCTGAAGTCATTTTTCTAACTTCCCCCGAGCGGTTATTATAACCTGACCAAGTTGAGGTCTGAACCTTCTTGAACATAATATTTTATAATTTAAAATTAAGAGTCGGTAGAACCTAACAAGGTTGAACGCAACTCTGAACCATACTATGCATAATATTTTATAATTTAAAACTAAGAGTTGGTAGAACCTGACAAGGTTAAACACAGCTTTGAACCATCCTGTGCATAATATTTTATAATTTTTATAATTTAAAATTAAGAGTAGTTAAAACCTTACAAAGTTGAACGCAGCTCTGAATCCTTTGCATAATATTTTATAATTTAAAATTAAGAGTTGGTAGAACTTGACAAGGTTGAGTGCAACTCTGAACCATGCTGTGCATAATATTTTATAATTTAAAATGAAGAGTCATTAGAACCTGACAAGGTTGAATGCACCTCTGAACCATCCTGTGCATAATATTTTATAATTTAAAATTAAGAGTTGGTAGAACTTGAGAAGGTTGAACGCAACTCTGAACCATCCTGTACATAATATTTTATAATTTAAAATTAAGAGTCGGTAGAACTTGACAAAGTNGTCCGCCTCCAGCGAAACCTCCGAGATGGTATTAAAATGACCCCTGAGTGGCTAGTCTCGACTTCTGCTACGACTTCTGCTTCTCCTCCTCCCTTGATACCGACGCTCGTTGTCATGGCGAGGTCGTTTGGGGCTTCGCCAAGGCGATCTCCTCCTCGGTGGACTCCTTGCTACCCCTTCCTCCTTCACATATCTCTAAGGTGCCCCACTCAGATACGCTTCGCGATATTATCCTTGAGAGCGGCGCACTCCTCGGTGGTATGTCCTAAGTTTTGGTGGTACTGGCAGTGCTTCTTCCAGTCCGCATTTCTCGGGGTAGGCTTCTTTTTGGTAGGGGGGGGGGGGGAGCTCCATGCTCAAGGCCTCCTCCAAGATTCTTGCTCTAGGAGCGTTAAGGGTTGTTCATTGGTTAAACTTGGGCGCTTGGGGTGGCTCTCTAGGGCAGAGTCTTGCCCCCTGCTCATTATTTCTAAACGATTTCTTACCTTCCTTCTTATCTCTTAGGGTGGACGCCTCCTCCTGTAGCTTCTTGCGGGAGATACGCATATCCTCGAGCAAATGAACTCAACGACTTTCTCTTGGAGTTCATCCATGGTTTTCAGTGCTCTAGTACAGAGGTTGTCGGCGAACGGTCCCGTCCTCAGCACCGACGACAGGTTGTTAATGATGAAAGTATGGTTGACATCTCTGACCTGCCGAGTCGTTTCGTTATAATGCCTCATAAAGGCTTTCAACGTTTCCTCTTTCTCCTGCTTCGTGTTAATCAACACAACATGTGTCAGCTCTTAGGTACAACTAGATGCGTATTGCTTGCCGAAGAGAGTTTCTATTTGTAGCGAAACAATCCACTGTGTTGGGAGGGAGGGTGTTGTACCACGCCAATGCTTCTCCCTTAAGCGACAATGAAAACGCCCTACACATCACAGGGTCGCTAGATGAATAAAATGTCATCGCGTTAACGAACGATCGAAGATGATCGTCCGGATCAGTGGTTCCATCATATTTCTCAAACGTAGGAGGAGCCTTCTCAGGCATGGGAGCCTCCATGATAGCAGCTATAAAGGGAAACAAAGCCCCAACATGGATAGTTCGGATGGGTACGAACGCCTGAGCTGCGACACTGTTTACTGCTTTCCCTTTTCCATCATCCGGGTTAGCATGGCTGGACGCAGAACCTACTAAGCCGGTTCCCTATCTTGCTACGCTCGGTGCACCTCCGTGGTCACCATCTTTTGAAGGGGTAGGAATCACAAAGACCAAATGTTGAGCAGATTGTTCTCCTCGGGTTGCCGTGTATTCCACTCGGAGCGTAGCAATTTCAGCCTTATGCTTCCTCTACATCTCCATTAATTGAGCTTGTATTTGTGCTTGCATTTCCCTCATTATTTCCATCGGGTCCTATTGGTCTCCCATGTTTCTTGTGGTCACCATTGAGTTTCTAATGCAGCTCTTAGACCCCATGGTGGACGCCAAAATGTTTCAATATGTGAGGTCGAGATATAAACTTTCACAATTTAATTCTAATTATTTCTACTCAATCCTTTTAACGTCCTTTTATCTTTCGTCGTCCTCCCTTCGTTATCCAAATCCGAGCGGTGAATATCTATTAAAGATATTCTAAGGCTCAAGTCAGTTTTATATTACGGATCGATTGTAATAATTAAGTCTTAAATGTTCAATAAATGTAATNATGTTTCGGTTGAATTGGTCCGAGGGTCAGTCGTCCTTCCTTGCTCTGCTCTCTTTTGATCTTCAATCCTCCTCGAGAACGCGATCCACTCCAATGAGTGGTTGACCTGCAGAAGACACTCCGACGCTCAAGTCAGATATGTTTCATAAAAAGGTCTATATTTTATTAGGATAGAAAATGATCATTGTACCTGGACATCAATTGTCTACTTATAAGACTTGTGAGAGCCACGTCCATTGATTAACCATTAGTGCAATATATGTTAGGTAATCAAACCCAATAATTAATCATTAATGTCGTATATTTGTAGAGCGTAAGACAATCTGACCTATTAGTACCTGCTTAATGACAATCAATTTTGATTGGTATACTTCATATAGTACAGTTTTCTTTGAAAACATAGGAAAATACTAGAGAGAGAGGGTGAAATGAATTTTTAAAACTTTTCGTAAATGATTTAGACGATAGTGTGTAAAAAGAGCTTTAAGAAAACGTTTAAAAGAGTAAAACAATAAAGCACATGCTTTATAATGGTTTGCTCAACTTAAGCTATGTTGAGTTCTCCCTTAAGAACTTTTAAGAGGTTCCACTAATGTTTAAGAAGATTACACGAGTTTTACCTCTCTAGGTTTACAACGGGTATTATCACTACTCTTGGTTTACCTAACTAACACGACTAGTCTGAGTTTAACCACTCTTAGTATACAAGTATTTTGATAATTTCTGGTCCAATCTTAGACTACTCGTCTAGATTGTTTAACCCAATTGAGCTAAACACCATATATTTTAATTCTCTTTAAAATGAACAACATAACCAAGGTTAAGAGCAAATATAGATTAACAACTCTCAAAGAGAGGATATAAACAATATAAAGCAATATGTGATATTGCTAAGGTTTTTCTCTTTTAGAAAATTTAGTTTTAGATGATATATGAGCACAATAATCTTGGATCGAAATCGGCCATTGCTACCTTAGAGTGTTTGACTCTTCAACGAGGGATGAAGGGCTCGACCTTTAATCTGACTATGTAACATTCTCGGGCCGCCTTATGATCGTCCCGTACGGTATAGATAGTTCCCTTGTCGGACGGAAACTTCACCGTGAGGTGGTGTGTTGAGAGTATGGCTCCAAAGGCGTTGAGGCATGGTTGACCCACCAGTACATTGATGATGTATTGGCCTCCACTTAGAGGAACCTTACCCTCAATTCCTTTTTGTCACGGTCGGTACCTAAGCATGTTCTTAGATCAACGTATCCCTTGGTATCGATCCTCTCGCCTGTGAAGCCTACGATTTGTTCGTTAAAAGGGGCAATAAGGTCTTTAGACAAATCCATCTTCAAGAAGATCTTCCAATATAAAATGTTGACGGAGCTGCCTTGATTGACAAGGACTTTACTGACACTATACGGGGAGATATCGACCGTGATTACCATCGGGTTGTCCTGGTTTGGGTCGGGTGCGTGAAAGTCATCGTATGTGAAAGTGATAGGAGGCAACGCCCTGATCTTCCTATCCACTAGGTGGTCGCTTTTCAACTCTCTCAAATGCCTCTTTCGGGCTGAAGATGAAGCTCCCACTACAAGAAAAATCACAGTTACATACGGTCAAAATCCGTATATAACCTCCAAAATCCGTATATAAAATGATATTACATACGGATTATATACGGACAAAAATCCGTATATAAAAGAAGCGTAGGTAAGTTATATACGGATATATCCGTATATAATTTACATACGGAAAAATCCGTATATAATTTACATACGGAAAATCCGTATATAAAATCCGTATATAATTATATACGGAAAATCCGTATATAAAATCCGTATATAATTATATACGGAAAAATCCGTATATAATTTATGATTTTATAAAAAAAAAAATAAGTGATTCTGCATCTGCATTTAATAGTTATGAGTTTCAATAGCTGATAAAAGTCAACATAACTAACAAATTGCCAAAAATCATCTAATATAGATAAACATTTATAACTATTTAATAAAAGATATAATTCACTAAAACTTTCAACATTTATCAAAAATAAGACATAGGTTTCGAGCTAAATGGTTTCTATATCCAAGAAAAGACAATGCAAAAGTAAAAAAGTTGTACAAGAAAATATATAAGGATCCTATACTTGAATGAATAAATAAAATATCTGTCCAAAATGGTAAAATATCAAAGTCTAAAGGCAGAGAAAGATGTTTACAACAACTACAATATCTTCTCTAGATAGAAAAAGATGTCGCCTTGCGCTATTCTTTTCCAAACATGATGTCTAGTCCATTGCTCAGTTTCGCATAATGTGAAATGTTATAGGGTAAAAAGCTATCACCGTGTCAATAGTTGTCAAAGCAAACTGCTCCAATACCATCACTTTGCCCCGACCTACAATAATAAGGAAAAAAAGAAATACAATTAATACTTTTAAAAAATTAATTAAAAGATTCTACACTTAACTCATTAAATTAATAGAAATTATGTCACTTTTTGCGAGGAAGACTTTTTTCTTATTTTCTTTTCTTAAGAGTTTTTATCTAAAATATTATGAAAAAGAAGTCAACTAATTAATAACAATTGAATCCAAATTTGCAACAAGATTATACTAAAATCACAAGGTATGGTGCATAATATTAGTTCAAACCTCTTGGTACATTCACACGTTCATACATCCAAATATAATTAATTTTGCAGCAATACAGTTAATACTTTTAATATAATATACTAATAATCCCAAAGGAAAAAGTTTATTACAAACCATCTAATATATATATATATATATATATATATATATATATATATATTCATAAATTTTACACCCAAATTTGAAACGAAAACTTATCTTAGCTTGGTATATAATATATAACGTAATAAATGTAATATATATAACATATATCAATCAAGACTAACATCCCATACAAAAATATATATGCCCTGCATCCACACTATACAAATATATATAAACAAGATTTTAACCAACTAATACAATAAAATATTTATGTAGCATTTGAATCACACACAAACAATTTTCTGCAGCATTTTTATATCCAAACATCAAATAATTTCCTGCAACAATTTTATCAAAACAGCATAATTTTCTGCAGCATTGAATCAAAACAGTTTTTCAGCAGTCTAACTAATTCAGTTTCAAATATATACACGTTCATACACTCCTTTATTCTTGACATATAACCATCCCATAAAGAAAACCCATTCTAATATTTCATTCCCAAACAGAGCATACTCATATACTTACTTTTTCAGACTCATACATGTCACTAACTGAGCCCAAGCAAAGATAACAACACCCATACACATCTATTTCTCAGAATAAATACATTCATACACTTATTTCAGTTATTATCAACAATATTATAAAATTTCCAGAATCCAAAGACACCATTACAATTCATAGAACAACAAGATACAAGATCAAAAGCAATTTAACTCTCCCATACCTTGGCCTTTGTTTTCTTTTCCTATTTTCGTTAGCTCTTGAGACTCTTTTTCTCTCTTTTCCAATGTTTGAAGCTCCACCAACTAGCCTTTTATCATCAAAGTGTGGCTCTAAACCCCAAACCGAGAATCTTCAACTCTTGTATTGATGAATAGTTTAATAGCTAGTGTTAAATCCAATTAAATGACCTAAGATAATGAGAAACCAAGTTATAGAAAGAGTCATAATATTATAGTTAAAACTGCAAGGTTTATAAGAAAAATAAAGATAATTTATCTTGTTATAAAAAATGTATAGTAAATTGTAATAAGAATTAACTCCTAAAAGTGAAACAATATAATAATTGAATTAAAAGTAAAGTGTAATAATAAATTAAGATGCTTAACCTCTTCATTAGAAATCTGTATTATAATGAAGAAATAATATCATAAGTTTCCCAAATCTCACCTGGAAAATCAAATCTCATCTTAATGTAATGGAATGAACTAATGGTCATAAATACTATTTGTCTAAAATTGACACATCACAAATTAAATTAAATGGTATAAATTTAAAACATAATCAATAATTTATAGAGCTTTATTATAAGCGTGACCTTTGGATCGGAAAAGTGAGGCAACCATACCAGCACTTTCACTCCCAGCCTTCATTCTCGTCTCTTCACATCAAAATAAAAACAATGAAGTGTAGTATAAGATTTGATAATACAAAATACAGAGTAGAATATTAGTTTCAGTATAACTCATTATGCAGTAACATCAGTACTCATAAACTATAAAACACAAACACAATCAAATATGAGCCATAAATTTAGTTTCAAAGAATAACTACATGAGCAAGCTTTTATAAACTTACAGGTATGTTAAGTGGTAATTGCTTCCTCTAAAACGAATTTCCCCTACAAATGATTGCAGGGTTCTTTGATCTATGTTGTGAATTCTAGAAAAAGGATGCTTTAGAAAAATATTTTCAACTTTGTCAACACCAAGTTTTACTAGTAATGTGTAACAGAATATAGTAACAAAAAAGGAATGCTCATACGACCATTGAAATGGAGAAACTATGAGCAATTAACGAATAAAGTGTTCACTAGAGTCTGCAATTGACTTCTTTAAAATTTCTAATGCACGGGTTAGTCTTTCAAAATTTCTAATTAATCACAACATTAGGTTAATTCTTAGAGATTTTAAATTGTACCCTTATTACAACAATTTATACCGTTTTTAAAACCGGTGTGAAATATCAAAAACTTTTTATACTCTCGGCCCTTAACCTACTCGAACATATCTTTTTTAATATGGATAAAAATCTTTTTTGCACCAGTGGTACACGTTTTGCAGATTCTGAGACATATTACCTAGCAAACCATAACCAGAAAAATTTCGGGATTCTAATAAGTTAAATAAAACCCATCCAACAAGTTCCTCAGCCACATAATTTACTAAAACACTTTTTAAAACAGTGAATTGGCCACCATAGTGTTAGCGTTAAATAAACTTTTAAACCAATTTGCACTTGATACTGCAACAGACTTCCTCAGGAGAATGGAAAAAAAGAGTTATGAAGCACTCACACACCATATTTATTTCGCAAAACAGAGCAACATATTAACTTACTTTTCATACTCATACATGTCACTAACTGCAACCAAGCGAAGAATAACAACACCCATACACAGTTATTTCTCGATCAAAATAATCATTCATACACTTATTTAAAGTTCTTATCAACTATATTATATAAATTCCCAGAATCCAAAGACACCATACAATTCTAGAATCAACAAGATACAAGATAAAAGCATTTAACTCCCCCATACCTTGGCCTCTGTTTTTCCTTTCCTATTTCCGTAGCTCCATGCATACTCTTTTTGCGTTTCCTTTGTGATTTCACTTACCTTCTCCCACTCATTCCTTCTTAACTCTACTAATTTCGTTTCTCTCCGAACATAATGCTTCCTTTCACGTCTCATTGCACAATGGATTTCATGACTTATAGGCTAGGATAAGAAATGAAAAGAGAGAATAAGAAAAAGGAAATGAGGAACGTGAATGCTAGGCTTTATTCAAGATAACATTTTCATATTAGCTCTCTTGACTTTTAACAAACAGTTTAAATGAG